TTTTGTATGCCGTCCCATTTGCATAAGCCTCGGGACGGCTTCCAACATAATAAATAAACAGTATATAAATAATACATATAAAATCCAGATTCTCCCTGGCTATAGAAATTAAAACTAATGAATAATATTAACAATTATTAAAATATTGTTGAAATAAAAAGGTCTTGGCCTGGCGTCGAAAAACAAATAACAACGGCGCCAGGCGGACCTCTCTGGGGAGCGCATTCCATAAGTGGGGCACCACCGCAGAGAAAGCCCTCCTCCGGGTACTCACCCTCCTAATGTCTTTCACGGAGGGCTCCCGGAGGAGCCCTCCAGTACAAAGTTTCTGCAATGAAATGCTTAGGTAGAAAAAAGTATGGCTGGGTGGGGCTTTGTCTGTCTAAACATGCATAGGATTGCACCCTAAGATTCCTATCATATAGAAAGATTGCATTATAAGAGGTGAGAGACAATTGGAATAAAAGAATTGTGCTGTGGGATCAGAAAAAGGTCTTGTCAGGGCTCGGATATGAACTACGCTTTCATCGGATTGGAACGTATCCTTATTATGTTTGTTCACATCCCCAAAGGATTCCCAAAGGGCCCTTCTTCACAGGCAAAGGAAGGGGGACTAGGAAAACTCACACTCTTCCCCCTTTCAAGTGTTTGGAAAGATTAGCCACTTTTCCTTCTGAGCAGGCAGTTTTTAGGCACAATTTACAAATGGAGGAATATATGGATACTTGGACTGTCATTCTTGAAATTTATGCACAATTAGCTTTAATTGTAGTTGTATATCTTGTTATGTATATAGAGGATATATTGTGTTTCTGTATTGATTAATAATTTACTTAATTTTTGTGTAACAAAATTGCAACATTTTATTTATTTTCATTTTTCCTATGTTCTAATTTTCATTTTTATTTCAAAATTCACATTGTTTGTAACAAAACAAAACAGAAGATCAGCTCCATGAAAGCTAAGAAGGGAAGGGAAGGCGAGGTGAGGTGAGGGAAGGCAAGGCTAGTGTTGGGCTGGGTTGGGGTTATGGTTACGGTTACGGTTACGGTTGTCTTGCCTGTAGCACAGAAATTCTTTAGGAAGCCTTCTGCATTTTGAGCTCCAGGAACATAATAGACACTCTGCCTAACTCTCAGTCTTGCATTCTTTTTGCAACAGCAACCAAATACTTCTGGAATAGGTTTTTGTGGGGCTGAGCAGTATAATCAACAGAACATGTTCTCCTGTATTTCAGATTTGATAGGGAATTCTGATAGAAAATAATTATGCCATTAATAAGAGATCTTTATGGTAATATTCCTTCCAATTTGGTATCAGTTTTTTTAAGTGAGGTTCCTTCTCATGTCGCTGGAAAGGTTGCCAATTTTTTTAGGACTGCAACGCAATTAGGAAAAAATGCTCTCATCTTCCTGAGTGAAGATATTATATAAACTATTAATTTTTACAATGTTTTTTATTATTGCAATTTCTAATTCATTTATTCATATTTCGGGTCTTTAATAAATGAAATTAATGATGTTTCTGGAAGCTTAAAAGTAAGCCATGAAAATGAGGGCTGTCCCATGATTTACCCCCCAAAATATGGTAAACTACTTCTGAAGTGTATATTCCATGTAGTTATCATATCTTACAGCCATTGAGAGATCAATCTTCCATGCATTTCTCTAATCTCATTCATTCATTCAGCATTTTTGCATCATGCCCACCCAACCTGGGCATCAGCTACAATGGGTGACAGTTAAAGGAAGAATGCATGGTGTGACAAAGAGATGATCAGACTCATGTTTTTCAGAATACCCAGTGGTATTTGCATACCAAGACGGTGTAAACCATGATCCTGGGTTCAGACAACACCATAAACCATGTTGGTGTGGCAAAACCATGGAATGAACCATCATTTCTTATAATGGTTTCTAAAAACCAAACTTACAATGGTGAAATACAATGGCTGGGTTCAAACAACACAACAGGCCAACAATGGTACAAATGCCCTGGCTAGTTGTATTGTCTGAACCCAGCCACTTTCTGTTTTTTCCATGTTTCCATTCCCCACAGAAAAGCATCTTACTACTACTACTACTGCTATTAATTATATTGCTAGATCACTGAATAGCCAAAGCTTTCTGTATTAGTAAGACGCTTACATCTTTGTGGAACTCCAGGCTCTCATTGCTCCTTACTTCCTGGATTCTCATTTAATTCCTAATTTAAATAATGCTTAAAATCCCCCCATCGCTTTTCTTGTTAGCTCCCTCTTTAACGCCCTCATGGTTAACACCAAGGCTAGATTTAAACAGTGGGAGTGGGGTGATCATCACTTTATTTTGTGAAAGTAGTTTGTGGGTTGATCGATGTTCTTATTTTTGACATTTTCAGATCAAATCAAGAGTAAAATCCTATGTTTTAGGCCTCAAGAAAAAGCCCTGGACAATATTTGGGATTTGCACAAGTGGCATCCTTTCCACCATTTCTTTAACTATGGTGATCTCCACTATCTTGTACTGGAAAAGTGTGAAAAGATCCAAGCTCCATCCTCAGGGAAAATTCCGGAAAATTGTGCGGGGACCACCACGGCACTCTTTGTGCTAATTGCTAAATTTCCTGTTCATCATTTGCCCTTAATATGCCAGAGTGAGAGACTATGTTAATTCTTAATTAACTTTTGGAATTTTAAAGGAAAAAAACACAGCCTCTTAAGCCCAGATTCATTGCCACAGCATGTCTGGGTGCTTTGTTTTGTTTTGTTTTGTCTGTAAAAGAGTACTAGAAAGCAGAACATGTTCCATTTCTGTCATTTAAAAACTGATTCGATACCCAAAAGGTACCTTAATCTGAAGATTCAGCAACAGGCTGAGAAAAGCCGATTACTAATGATCACTCTGAAAATACTGTTTTGCCTTTTGTGAATTCTGAAATACAATTCAAACCATCATTAACACCTTCAAAATATGTCTATACTTTGTAAATATCACACGGTGATACCAATTTAACCATGATGGCTTCCCCCAAAGAATCTTGGGAACAATAGTTGCGTCTGCAATGGGTTCTTTGTTAGAGAGCCTTAACCCCATCTTACAAAACTACAGTGCCCACCAGTGCTTTGGCAAGAGGGGAATAATGTTAAACCCAGTTTGCACTGTTGCACAGCCCAGCTGTTCTGTTTCCACATGCACTTTCTAGAGTAGTGCCCAGGACTGCTCCAAAACTCCACAGTAACACCTTCAGTGCATGGTTCCACCATATAATTGCTACAGTACAATACTGCAAAGGTTGCCCTTAGCCTTCATGGCATTAAATCTGAATGTTAGATGCCAAATTGGAGACAGTTCTGGGTGTGCTGGCCAACCCTGGTGATCATGTATTTTGGACAAATGAAAGTGCAGTCTGTCTGTGCCCCAAAGTCACATGTTCTCTTTGTACTCTTTTACAGACTCTTCACAAAGGGCCCATGGCTGCCTTTTTGATGCAAACAAAAGATAACCCCATGAAAGCCTTAGGAGTTCTAGCTGGCATCATGGGAGTGATGGTGCTGCTCACCATCTTGATCTCTACCGCCATGTTCTGGCGCAATAAAAGGTCCAACAAAGTCATGCCAGTGCGACGGATCATTAAAAAAAGACAGAACTATCAACCCAGACTGGTCAGGATGGAGTGGCTGAAATTCAAGAGATCCAGCAATGCTGCTGAGAAGTTTGCAGTTGAAGAGGACGCCAAGAGCCTGCAAAATGAGAACAGCAATAACAACTTCCAGGTGCCACCTCCACCTCCACCTGTTGCTCCAGCCCTCCCTCTGGCACCGGCGCTCAAGACTAATGCCCCTGAATGGAGAGTGTCCACAATATCAGGCTCTCTGAGCCCCAAAATTAGGAGCAAGGAGAAGAAAAAGGGCACTGTTTGCACGTCCCACACTGCCCTCGTGTCAGAGCTCAAGCAGAAGTTTGAAATGAGAAATGCTGCCCTCAGTCACCCACAAGTTTAGTGTATTCCCCAAAGCTGAATGTGGACTCTATGTGTCATTCCAGGTACATGGTGTGAGTCATGCTTTTGCATTTTGTACCATTTCCCTATGTCCATGTAAACTGCTATCTCTCATTTCCTATCAGTATTTCACATGCGTTTGCTTGGATTGCATGCCAGGGCATATCCTATTTCCTTGTGAAATTGTTCCACCTATTGCATTGTGGTAATGTTTGATGAAGATTTGTTATAACTTTTATCCAGTTTACTCATACAAAGGGGTTTTTTTTTGTGCTGCACCAAGATGCCAATTTGTTTTGACGTAAGCCAATATTTGTAGGAAATTCCAATGATTTTTTTAAGCCCAGATTGAAACTTTTATTCTCATACTAGAAGCCTCCAGGTATAGCCAAGAAAGGCTAGCAAGAGCCAAGTTTGTCCCTTCTCCTAGGATGTTAGACCTAGCATCCACCTCAGAAATGGGTCAGTCCTAATAAAAACTTGGGAATCTAGCCCCAAATCTGGTTGGATCAGAATTTGATGCCATTCTCAATCATATAGGCTTTGTGGAAGAAGACTAATATGTCCCCAAATAAGATTTGGCTGGTCATTTTTGCCCCATGATGTCCAAAATGAGTTCTTGAATGCAAAAGCAAGACTGCAGAGGGCCACTGCAGGAGGTAGCAGGTTGATAGATAAAGCCAAGAAATTAGAGGCACAATAAAACTCACAGAAGACCAACATGGGATGGAGGAAAAGCAGGTGTATCTGAAGAAGTGAAGGTTCCAAGGTGTGCAGGGCTCAGAGGCAGAGCAGGTCACCTTTGGACTCTCTGGTAAATGAGTCAGTGTTGTTGTGATCAAAGCAAGGACAACTGTTTGTCCTACACCAACGGGTAACTGAAGTCAGTACACAGTTAGGGGTGTTTGGGCCTAAGAAAGGTTGAGGAATTGTCCATAGTGCAAGTGAATACACAACGACCACAAGAAACTTCAGCAGCTTTCACCCTCTCCTGCACCAAGGAGAAGAAATCCAAGCTGATGGGGACGAGGCACTTACTGCCTTCTTCAACTACATCTGGAGGGACAGGGGGACCCATTTCTTCCAGAATAAATGAAAATCTGAACCAAGGAAGGTCTATTCTCCTCCATTTTTGTTCATTCCAAAATTGGGGGATTGGTGGGTATGAATGGGCATGCTTTCTACTGCTCTCATTTCTACCCATGTGTTGCACATTTAGATGAGTTGAGAATGGTGAAACTGACCTTCTCTGGCCAGCAGCCTTGGTCCTCTTGACAGCTGCCTCCAGCAGTCTTTTCCTGCCACCAAATCCCCTGGACTTTGTACCATTTCAGGCCATTCATGAGACAAAATAGCAGATACCACAGAAATGTCCGACTTATTAGAGCAGCTTTCTGCTAGAGTGCCTTCTTACTGTGGTTGTTGCTGATGATGATGGTGTTCCTATTTCACCCAATGGCCAATGTTTTCTGGTTGAGCACATAAAATACAATAAAAATACCATATAAAATTGCAGCACTAAATTTAAAAGGTATCAAAAGCTATAATGCCTTATACAAATTAAAACACAAGACCTATTAAGCAGTTGACATAATGCTCCAATATAATATACAACTGATTGCTTTGCCATAGAGGACAGGCTTAACCTGATGCCAAAAAGATATTAGAATTGGCACCAGGTGGGCTTGGCTGGGGAGCTTGTTCCATAACTGGGGGATTCCACTGAAAAGGCCCTTCTTCTTGATATCACAATCCAAGCCTCCTTTGGAGGCTGCAATCAGAGGCAGACCCCAAATCTAGATGATAGTGTCTTGGAGATTCCTTTTAGGAAGAGGGCTTCAGTCTGGTATTGTCATCCCAAGTTGTATAGGGCTTGGTAGGTTAAAACCAACACTTTGAATTGGGCTCAGGATCATATAGACAGCCAATGAAAGAAGGCCAGAACCGGTGTTTTGAGTTTGGTCCCTGTTATTAATCTGGCTGCTGCATTTTGCACAGGCTTTTTGTTTTTTAAATGTACCGCCCCGCCGCCATCACAAAAGACCTTCCAGAAAGCAACAGGTAACGAAGACATAATTTCTAGAGAAGTAAACTCCCTTTAATTCCTGCAGTGATGGCAATCCCCTAAGGCTGAAGCGAGTTTAAAAGGTAAAGTTGTATATGCTGAGAACATTTCTTTTTCTTCAATCAGGATTGGAAAAAAACAGTTTTAGCTCCTGGTCTAATATATCAGAAATATAGGAGCACTTGTTTAGCCTGAAATGGTGGAGGAGAAGAGGCAATTTAATGGTGTGTTTCACAACTGAAGTAATTTACATGGTTGTCTAAGGCAGGCCCTAAAAGGCCATTGAGTTCAGGGTCTAAAATTACCTGTTTGCAACACTGAGAAGAGAGTAATCAAAACAAACTCTTCAGAACATTTGGCAATACAATGTGCAGTTTAGAGAAGAATATATTTTGTTGCAGCTGCAGTCTATGAGCTGCCTTCAGGTTCTGTTTCATTTGGGGTGACACTTGTAAAGTTAATCTCTAGAATGAATGGTTCTGGGGCTCAGGGCTTCCTTGAAGTCACATCCTCTAATCTAGAAGCTTTCATTATAATCCTAGCTGTAGAAAGACCCATGTTTCAGATATCCAACGATGTGGGAAGAACAGTGGTACCTTGGCTCACGAATGCCTCAGTTCATGACCAAATTGGGTCGTGAACAGAAATTTCATAAAAATATTGCCGCAGGTTGCGAACTCCGCATCGGGTGACGATTGCGAGTGTGCCTGCATTCCCTGCACGGGCACCATCACAGTCGTGCTGGAGGGGTGAAATGGCCACATTCGTGCTGGGGGGAGAGGGCCACGGTTGCACCCATGTTCCCTGCCCGAGTGTGCCCACTCTCACCTCCCCCCCATGTGCCCACACCCACGCCTGCCTCCCCCCGTGCACCCTCGCCTGCGCCCACCTCCTCCCACCCCGCCCACACAATCGCTGGTGGGGGGGGGGGAGATGGTCGCGATCTTTGTTGCTCTTTGTTACTTTGCTTCAAACTTTTGTGAGTAAAAAAAATAAATAGTTGCAGAATGGATTAACTTTATTTACATTGACCCTTATGGGGAAATGTGACTTGGCTCACGACCAATTTGGGTCACGACCAGAGTCCTGGAACGGATTAAGTTCGTGAGCCAAGGTACCACTGTACTCTCTACACTTGGGTTAGGGCTCAAGTTGGAGTCACAGATCTGGCTGGAATCTGGTTTTCTTTTGCTCACTGGACTTCTTTCCCATGTTTGGTCCTGCCCAGGGGAGGATCTTGATCTTGAGCTGAGATCAAGCCCACAAACACTTAGAAATGCTAATAGCTTCCTTGCACAAAGTATGCAAAGTAAGTAACTCTGTGGGTAAGTTATGCTATTTACCTATCGTGCAAAATGCACAAACTACATAATTCTTAGCACAAAGTCCGCAAATTGCATAATTCTTGCAAAATACTGCAAATCATGTGCACAGATGCAAAACTTCACTTGCATGAGGTGGACTTAAAGAAGAGCTAAAGGGGGCTGGAGTTTGGGAAGCCAATTTGAGGAAATCCAGTGGATTTCCACCCCCAAACTGGATTCTTCACGCACCCCTATAGTATACATCCTCAAAGGTTATATGTTATCATTTCACATGTTCCAGGGTCAAGTCTTGGCATTCTAAGCAGGTATTTGGGCTCACATGGAGAAGCAAGGAAGTAAAGACCTCAGTAAAGCGAAAAGGCACATCAACACTCACAGTATTATAGTCAAAGAAAGTGGTACATTGACCCACATGCTCGGTATTATGGAATGTAGACTTGTTTTGGTGCTGCAAGCCTCATTGCTCCAGATCAGTGATGTAAAACTTTTACAGTGGAATGGAAAAATGAAGTTCCCTGTTTTTATGAAAGACGCAATTGCTCCCTACATACCTACAAAGCTGTTGTTTATGGCTTTTATGACTATCCTAACCGCCGAATGTTTCAATTTCCCGTTTGTGGGAATTGAAATAAGAGAAAAGCTTAAAGTGTGACAGAAAAAGCATATGAAAGATTCCATCATTTATTTTATTTATTTATTTTTCAATTTATATCCTGCCTTTTTCCTGCAAAGGGCTCAAGGCAGCTTACATCTCCTCCTCCATCTTATCCCCACAACAACAACCCTGTGAGGTAGGTTGGGCTGAGAGACTGTGACTAGCCCAAAGTCACCCAATTGGCTCCATGGCTGAGCTGGGACTAGAACCCAGATCGTCTGAGTCCTAGTCCCATGCTCTTAACCACTACACCACACTGGCTCTCATGCAGGAAATATGGTGTCAGAAAAGTTTGCCTTTGAGTAGAGCTGTGCAAAGGAAATGTGAATAGGAGAGAGAGTCAACAGGTTTCTGTTATGGGTGAACGCTCCTGCAGCCACCAGCAGCTCTAGTAATTAGCACCATCTTTTAATATCTTGACATGTGTTATGACACAACCACAGTATTCTAAACATGGGATAGAAAACACAGAGTTTGCAAGGCTCAACACACCCACCAAAGGGCATGTGAGTTTTCTGAAACCTTCTCTTTTGCCTAGAATGACTAAACCACAGGTGCAGCACCACAGAGAAACAACATGGACCAGGAGGACGATCCGGGTGTTCAGAGAAGGCCCATAAAGTGTATGTAGACTACTCCTGGTTGCAATTGGAACAAAGAGTGCAGTCCATTATCCGTGTAGCCAGAAGGCCTAATTCTCTGTGCCCATCACTTAGACTGGATTGCCAGTCTTCAACAGTGACCCTAACTCCTCACTCATTGAGTGAGTGTTGGCACCAAAGCAACATTTCATGGGGAACCCGATCATGATGAAAATGATGTGTTGGCCTTGGCGGGGAGGAGGCAAATGTTTGCGAGAACATTGGTGATGGCTTTAAAAGGGATGGATTCACGAGGGAGTTGGCTATCTGTGGCTACTAGCCTTGCTGGCTCTTTCACCTCCTGCATGCACCAGT